TGGTCCACATGAATCTTAGAAGTGTCAAAAACATTTGGGCATCTACCACTTTATGGGGAGATTGTTCCAATGGCCAATTGCTCTCACTGTGAAATATTTTCCTCTTCTGTCCAATCAGAATCTCCCCTGAATTTTGTACTCATTGTCTTTTTACATGTGACTACTTGGAAAAAAAAGGCTCCATCTTCTTTGTTTGCATCAGAAGCAGAGTTTACTTCAAAGGTTTCATATCATTGTCCCACTCTTCTTTGGTGACCTAAACACAATATATCTTATTAACCTATAAAAAAACCCTTCACTTTTCCTTTCCCACGGTCCTGCATGAGGGTGCCTCTTCTTCCTGCCTTCTTGATAGTACCCCAAGAATCTGCATTCCTTCCCAACCTGATCTTTGCAGTCTTATAGTTCCTAGTAAGCCTGCCCCTCCTTCAGTCGCGAGTATGATTCATGCAGAGGTCACTGTATCCTCTTTCCACAAACCTAAGCTGTATTCCACTTGCAGCATAGTTTCCCCTTCCTTCTGCTCCACAACTCAAACCGCCAGACGCTGGCGATTACTTAGCCTGATCTACAGAGCCAGCAAAAAAGGGCACAAATGAGCCAGGGTCACCTTAACCAGCAGTGGCCTGCAAACAAAAACTTCACAGAGACGACATGTCCCCCACTTGCAATCTAACACTTTGGCCCCTTCCTTTGCCACATGACCTGATAGTCAGGCAGCCTATCCTATGATGTGTTACACCAGCTGTCTCTGCTGTTAGGTAATCCACGGGAGAGCACCAAGGAATATGCAGCAGATCAGCACTCCTGTCACTCCTGACTAACTTTAATGCAGCCCTATGTTTTTCATTCCCAAGTCTCCACAAAATAGATTGGTGAGAAGGAATATATAAGTAATTTATATTGGAAGGACTCTCTATATACTAAGTGTTGTACAAATTAAAAAATTAAAAAAAAAAAAAAGGAAAGAAAAGGACATTTTTATGCAACTGGACAAAAATCTTTCAGTGTTTCACACCAACCATGGGACAAAACCCAACAAAGGGCCTAGAAAGGTTAACAGTCTCTTTTTGAGCCTTGCAATATGGAGCCCATTCACCTAAAAATGGAAAAGTGAGGCATTCTGACATCTAAATTTACATACTTAAGCAGGTTTGTGGAGGAGAACAATCAGACCCACATCTTTACGTTTGCACAATATTACTGTACTTATGAAAATAGCTCTGAAATGGCACTGACTTCAGTTTCATATAGATACCAAACTTAGTCCAAATCTTTACATGGAGGTAAAATCTCAGCTACTCAGTTAAAACTGCATTTGAAAATTTCAAGTTATTCTGAGCACTGCTCATTGTGTTGTTTAGTCTCTACAAGCATTTTTCAAGGCTTAAGGATTGACAAACATTCCTCTGATCTCTGTTCTATGTTCCTCTGTTCCTATGTTATTTTTCTAGTAACTTCAATAATAAATCATATTCATACCAAATATTATTTTCCTTTGGATGCAAATCCTATACATAGCATAGGTTATCAAGCATGACTTCAAATCACCTTTGAACTGAAGTCAAAGATTAATGGAGTTTATTATAGCTAGATTTCAAAGGACAAAGTTGAAAGCTTTATAATAGATAGAGTGAGACTTCAGTTAATTTCTGTTCTGTAGAACTGAAGCAATGAATGTGAGTACTATGGCATATGCAAAAACAAACAATAATGAAAAATATCTGTTTCCAGTAACTTTCATTAGAATGGAACTATTTTTATTTGCAATGACACCTTAACTGTTAAAGATAAGTTAACAGTTACATTAAGTAACTGTTTCTACTGAAGTAGAAAGGCAGACTTCTTAAAGCATACTAGAATTCAAGGAAGGATCAGAATTAATGGAGTAATTGAAATCGTCTGAGTAGCACGGCACACTGGATGGCTCTTTTAAGACATAGCTTTTAGAAGTGAAGATGTTGCATTTCCTAGACTAGTATCTACATTGATAATAAAGATCAAAGCGTATCAGAAGCTGGTAGAAGTTCTCCTAATACCTATTTTAAAATACGAACAGACTATACCGCTTTGGCTATACTGTTTTGCTAGCACCAAAGGTCCCCACACAGAATGTAGAGTTTCACAGTGTAGAATATTGCACAATATGTGGAAGAATATAGTCCATGAGTAAAGACTTTTAACAATATAGTTCTCTTGACTTCAGATGTTTAGATTTAAATACAAATTGACTTTTATATTGAAACAAGTGTCATGCCAGCAAAATTTTGTTTCTTTAAACAAGTATCTTTTAAGAAATAAATCAAAGGAAGTAAAGTAACACTAATTCACTCTTCCTGGTAGACAAATTTAAGCAAGTAAGTCATTCATCACCCAGACCTAAATCAATTTTTTCAACCAGGATAATTAGTAGTAAGAAAAAGCCACTAGTGCTTCTCTATTATAAGAACAGTTACAAACATGACAACTGACAGTGCATTTCAAAAAAATCACGAAGTTGTGACTTTTATTACTTTGAATCTTGAGAACACATTTCCAAGCTTTGAACACCTCACGTTTTACCATACAATAGAATACTCTCACATAATAAAAACTGGCTGAACCAGGAGAAAAAAAACCTAAGACTGAATATCCTCCATAACACAGATCTCTATATGTTAGTTACTAAAGCAATACTGCTGCAGCATTTGATCCCATCATAGATACATGTAGTTTCAGAGATATTCTTTGACCTGGCAAACTCATTTTGAAGATCTTGGACATACATTAAATTAATGTTTACCCGGTTGTACCACAGTAATTGCTATAAAATCAGCAGCTGAACCTGAATCTTATATCTGGGGCCTAATCACAAGACCATTACTTTCCCAAAAAATCAAAGATGTTCCAGAAATCTATTTGTAAATTTACTGGTTTTGAAATTAATCTTGTTAGAATGGGGTTGTTCAGTTCTCTAATACATAATGTCTGCAGAAAAATTATGTTCAGGTTTCCTTTGAATAAAATATAAGGAGCTGTTACAACAACAAAGACATTACTCTAGAGAACAGAAATTTGAAGAGGTATGCCTTTTATCCGAAGTCATGTTTCAGCTTATACTCAATGAACAATCTGTGTAACATCTACCCTGACAAGAACTCCAAGTGGAACCTTGTGGAAAAAACACATTCTTGGAGAATTCTAGCTTATCTGTGCATCAAGACTGAAGAAAAAAACCAGCAAGTAATGGTATAGAGTCAGTGCATAGTATAAAGGTTCTAAAAAACCAAACCACCACCAAGTGCCTTCTTAAATTATACTTAAAGCTAGAAGGGACCATGTGATGGAAACACTCCGAAGACAGGCACAGAGTATACATTGTATATTCCCTAGTCACATAAAGCATCTCTACTTCATTCTTAGAAAAAGGGAAAAACTATTGTTCCTTTGTCCCCTTTAGTTGAGTGAAAAGAGAACAAGGCATTTTTTCTTCCATCCTCTCTCACCATTGTGGGGAAGGGATAAGAAAATGTTTCAATCATTTCATACTCCCATGCTATCTGCACTAAAAGCTCAGAAAATACAAACTGTTCCATCAAATTTAGTCTTGAAGTTGTCAGCTATTTTCATGGTCTCGTTCCTATCCACATCTCTGATACTGTTTCAAGATAAGAAGGGACCTTGAAGGAAAATGTAACAATTACTAGAAATACTACTGCTTTATGGTGCTAATAGTACGCTACCATCTTACACTACTTCTGTAGTGGAATATTGATTGGAATATTTAGCTTTTAGAAAACTTCACAGTTATCACACACTGATGTTCATGTTACACTGACCTGCTTAGATCTAGGAATGCTAACAATTAATGGCACTGTTTAACAATGGTAATAAGTTTCTTCTAACAAACATTAAACTATCAATTACATCACCAGCTTTGTACGCAGCAACAAAACTCCTGTATTTTCACAGCCAAAAATACATTGCTGCCGTGAATAAAACCTGAAACGTCATCAATCCAGTCCTTAGCTCCAGGACCGGACCCACCATCCTGTTGTTTTCACAAACCCTGGTAACATGTTGCTCTGAAACAGAGGTCAGAAGATTTGCATGCTGACTCCAGTACCAGCCATTTAAAACCTGTGCAGTCAATGTACTACAGCAGTGAATCACACAAGCTCAAAATAAGAAACGTTAAAATTATTCAACATTACAAAAAAGGTGTAATTAATTGAAAAAAATTAGAATGGCTTCCAAGGGCAATCCGAAACCTGAAATTAGTCAAAACACCAATAGACCAATAACATTTACTCAATTATTCAGTATAAAGGTTTTTTTTGGTAGAACGTTTTTCAACGTGTTCAGTAAGTCATTTGAACTTTCGTTTGTCCTTCAAAAAAGATGGCACATTAAACCACAACATTCCCTGAAGGGAAGGAAACATTGTTGGAAACTACTGACAATAGAAATGACTCTGTAGTAGAGGCAGATAGAATACTGAAGTAGCAAATGGACTGAAGAATCTGAACTCCTTGAGAAAGAGAAAGCCTGTGTTTTCCCACCACCTATTTGTGCTGCACTCCATCCCTTGCTAGACACATTTCTTGAAGTCATGACATTCAGCATTTCAGAACACATAAATCTGTCATTACTCTTGTGTTCAGATGAAAACAGACACACTCCAAGCTAGAACTTGGCAACTACCTTCCAGAAAAAAGGGGTGTATGTGACATTTCATACACTAAACCAAGCTCATGTGTCCTTCCATACTGAAATCTTTCTAGGACTTCCTGGTCTGTGATTTGGCATATGAGATAACACAATTCTCTTTCTGTCAAGGCATCATGGATTATAGCACTACAATTTCATACTCAGTTAATAGACAATTAAAGCCCTTAGGAATAATTTTGGACATGGAGCTTTTAAGGTACAGTCACCTGCAATTACAATTCATACTTTAAATGTAGAGACTGAGGTAATACACTGTTAACAGAAAAGATCATAGGCATTAAGAGAATAAGTAGTCTACAAAGCCACATTTATTTGCACATGTACAGAACAAAGCAACAGATGTTATTGTTTTCCATACAAAATTATATAAAAACAGTATTCACCTTCATAGATAACACTATACCACCTTAAGTTTTATTAAATACATTCAGAAAGCATTCTTGCACGCACACAACATTAGTATTAGGTAGCCCCAGGTAACTCTAATACTGCAATGCAATTATTCCTAGTGGTATGAAGGGATCAAAAATTAGTCTGTAACTAAAACAAAAAGAATCCTGGTTGAGAAGCAAGCTGAAGTCTTACTTCCACTGGCCACCAAAACAAGATTCATCATCGAACAGATTAACTGTATCTAGAACATTGATGTAAATACTACCAAAGCACCTGCAGAAAGCAGGTAAGAGTGGTTTTCCAGACTAACTTGAGCTACTTGGCCAGTATTAACATTCCCATTTAATCACTGCTTGCCTATGGATAGGAAATTTTTATAAAACTGGAGGACAGACAGAATTGACTAAGAGCTTGTGGTTACAGAGGAAAACAAAAAGTATAGATTCAAATAATTACTCTGCCTTTCTACCCAGCACTGGAGAGATTTGCTTTACTAGGTCTTAAAATTCCCATTCTTGCAAGGAATAGAGGGGAAAGGCAAAATTTTGTACTTCCTGCAATATGGTCTCCCTACATATAATCTAAAAAGGGGAATTTAATTGTCAACAGGACATCTCAAACAATTTATTTAAAATGCACATTTATTTCTACAAAAAAAAGTGTATGATACAGAAGAAATGATCACATCTACTTTAAAGGTCTACCTACTAAAATATACAGAGGATCTTAATGAGTACAGGTTATTTAAAAAAAAGATGCAAAGGAGTGTTAATCTTTTATTTTTACATTTTCAGGAACTTCACATAATTTTGGTAAGTAACCTTTTACAAAATTATGTAAAAAGTACAAGAATGCCTGGTAAACAGTCTGCTTTTTCCAAAAGATTTTTTTACAGCATGCAACTCTTAAGGCAGCCTTCTCTTCCTCCTTACAAGGAATCCTTTCACTCAAATAATCTTCTGCTGCAAAGATTAGGCTAAGGAAGCTTGGTCTCTTCTGTTAACGCCTTTTGTCTTTCCTGTCTGATTTACGGTCTCTTTCACTCCGTGAAGTTCTCTTGCCTGACCGACTACTTTCTGATATAGATCTCTTTCTGTCAGACCTCGAACTTTTATCCTTTGAGCTTTTGGTATCTCTACTGCCACCACCTTTTGAGGACTTGTGACTTCTATCTACTCCCGAAGCATCCCTTCGCTTCCTGTCTGTGCTCCTTCTACGTTTTCTATCTCTGTTATGCCCTCTGCCTCGGCTTCGACTTCTACTTTCACTGCTGCTAGAGCTACTGCTGCTGCTGTCCCTGCTCGTACTCCCACTTGTAGTGCTGCTGCTGGTGGAACTGCTCCGACTGGTACTGCTGCCAGTACTGGAACTACTCGCACTGGTGGTACTACTTGAAGTGCTACTGCTACTACTGCTGCTGCTACGGTTATGACCAGTTTTGTTCCCTGCCCTACCCCTGCTTCTACTCCTAGTCTTACTCTTACTTTCTGCACTCGGTGTCTGATTCTGCTCTGCCTGGGCTTCAACCACCTTTACAGACACCACAGCATTTTCATCCTTGTCTGTCTGGGGCTCTGTATCCTGAGTGGACTGAGACAACTGAGGTGACTGTGCTAGCGGCACAGACTGTGGCTGAGACAGAGCCTCAGCCACAGATTCTGTCTGAGCTTCAGGTGTTTTCTCCTGTGTTTCTTCAAGTTCAGTTTTATTTTCTGTTTTGATACCTTTCTCCTTCTTAGGAGAAGGCACATGACACACTTTCTCTGGCTGAGCATCACACTCTGTTTCTGGTTCTATTTCTTTGCCATTTTCATTTTCTACAGGTTCTACACTATCTGCTTCATTCATTTCAGCCACATCCTGCTCATTATCCACTGGCTGAACGTTTTCACTTTCCTCTTTGACAACTGTGATCTCCTCATGCTGACCATCCTGTTGTTTGTCATTCTCCCTCACCTCAGTAGGCTCTTCTACTTTCATCTCTATGTCATGTTTCTGCTCGTCCTCTTCCTGTTCTTTTTCTGCATCACTATGCCCTGAACCTGAACCTATTTTTCCCTTTTCCTCCCCTACCTCCTCCATTTCTACATCATTGTGCTGATTACCTGTCTCCATCTCTTCCACCTGCTGAGCCACCTTACCCTCTTCCTGCTCCTTGCTCTGTTCTTCCTTCTTTTCTTCATTCTGCACCTCCTGATGTTCTTTTTCCTTCATAGATTGTCTTCTGGGCCTGGCCTCCATTTTGTTAATCTGCTCTGCAAATTCATTTCTCCTGCTTTCAAAGAGCGCTAGGGAATAAATGCATAAATAATAGTTAAGATACTCTACAGACAGTGAAGTCTGTTTACCCTTTAACTATGAGCTAATTGTTCAACTTATAAATACTGCAACCTTGTTCTTTCTGAAGTTGCAAGCCATTCATGCATAACGAAAAAGACTGGTAGTTACCTTAAGAACACAAAGCAAAGGGGAAAGTAAGCTCAGTAAAGCCCTAAATCTAAGCTAACAAAAACTTTTTTACTTCATTAAAATCAAACCAACCAATAGTATATCAAAATAATACCTTAATTTCTCGGNAAAAAAAAAAAAAGGAAAGAAAAGGACATTTTTATGCAACTGGACAAAAATCTTTCAGTGTTTCACACCAACCATGGGACAAAACCCAACAAAGGGCCTAGAAAGGTTAACAGTCTCTTTTTGAGCCTTGCAATATGGAGCCCATTCACCTAAAAATGGAAAAGTGAGGCATTCTGACATCTAAATTTACATACTTAAGCAGGTTTGTGGAGGAGAACAATCAGACCCACATCTTTACGTTTGCACAATATTACTGTACTTATGAAAATAGCTCTGAAATGGCACTGACTTCAGTTTCATATAGATACCAAACTTAGTCCAAATCTTTACATGGAGGTAAAATCTCAGCTACTCAGTTAAAACTGCATTTGAAAATTTCAAGTTATTCTGAGCACTGCTCATTGTGTTGTTTAGTCTCTACAAGCATTTTTCAAGGCTTAAGGATTGACAAACATTCCTCTGATCTCTGTTCTATGTTCCTCTGTTCCTATGTTATTTTTCTAGTAACTTCAATAATAAATCATATTCATACCAAATATTATTTTCCTTTGGATGCAAATCCTATACATAGCATAGGTTATCAAGCATGACTTCAAATCACCTTTGAACTGAAGTCAAAGATTAATGGAGTTTATTATAGCTAGATTTCAAAGGACAAAGTTGAAAGCTTTATAATAGATAGAGTGAGACTTCAGTTAATTTCTGTTCTGTAGAACTGAAGCAATGAATGTGAGTACTATGGCATATGCAAAAACAAACAATAATGAAAAATATCTGTTTCCAGTAACTTTCATTAGAATGGAACTATTTTTATTTGCAATGACACCTTAACTGTTAAAGATAAGTTAACAGTTACATTAAGTAACTGTTTCTACTGAAGTAGAAAGGCAGACTTCTTAAAGCATACTAGAATTCAAGGAAGGATCAGAATTAATGGAGTAATTGAAATCGTCTGAGTAGCACGGCACACTGGATGGCTCTTTTAAGACATAGCTTTTAGAAGTGAAGATGTTGCATTTCCTAGACTAGTATCTACATTGATAATAAAGATCAAAGCGTATCAGAAGCTGGTAGAAGTTCTCCTAATACCTATTTTAAAATACGAACAGACTATACCGCTTTGGCTATACTGTTTTGCTAGCACCAAAGGTCCCCACACAGAATGTAGAGTTTCACAGTGTAGAATATTGCACAATATGTGGAAGAATATAGTCCATGAGTAAAGACTTTTAACAATATAGTTCTCTTGACTTCAGATGTTTAGATTTAAATACAAATTGACTTTTATATTGAAACAAGTGTCATGCCAGCAAAATTTTGTTTCTTTAAACAAGTATCTTTTAAGAAATAAATCAAAGGAAGTAAAGTAACACTAATTCACTCTTCCTGGTAGACAAATTTAAGCAAGTAAGTCATTCATCACCCAGACCTAAATCAATTTTTTCAACCAGGATAATTAGTAGTAAGAAAAAGCCACTAGTGCTTCTCTATTATAAGAACAGTTACAAACATGACAACTGACAGTGCATTTCAAAAAAATCACGAAGTTGTGACTTTTATTACTTTGAATCTTGAGAACACATTTCCAAGCTTTGAACACCTCACGTTTTACCATACAATAGAATACTCTCACATAATAAAAACTGGCTGAACCAGGAGAAAAAAAACCTAAGACTGAATATCCTCCATAACACAGATCTCTATATGTTAGTTACTAAAGCAATACTGCTGCAGCATTTGATCCCATCATAGATACATGTAGTTTCAGAGATATTCTTCTTTGACCTGGCAAACTCATTTTGAAGATCTTGGACATACATTAAATTAATGTTTACCCGGTTGTACCACAGTAATTGCTATAAAATCAGCAGCTGAACCTGAATCTTATATCTGGGGCCTAATCACAAGACCATTACTTTCCCAAAAAATCAAAGATGTTCCAGAAATCTATTTGTAAATTTACTGGTTTTGAAATTAATCTTGTTAGAATGGGGTTGTTCAGTTCTCTAATACATAATGTCTGCAGAAAAATTATGTTCAGGTTTCCTTTGAATAAAATATAAGGAGCTGTTACAACAACAAAGACATTACTCTAGAGAACAGAAATTTGAAGAGGTATGCCTTTTATCCGAAGTCATGTTTCAGCTTATACTCAATGAACAATCTGTGTAACATCTACCCTGACAAGAACTCCAAGTGGAACCTTGTGGAAAAAACACATTCTTGGAGAATTCTAGCTTATCTGTGCATCAAGACTGAAGAAAAAAACCAGCAAGTAATGGTATAGAGTCAGTGCATAGTATAAAGGTTCTAAAAAACCAAACCACCACCAAGTGCCTTCTTAAATTATACTTAAAGCTAGAAGGGACCATGTGATGGAAACACTCCGAAGACAGGCACAGAGTATACATTGTATATTCCCTAGTCACATAAAGCATCTCTACTTCATTCTTAGAAAAAGGGAAAAACTATTGTTCCTTTGTCCCCTTTAGTTGAGTGAAAAGAGAACAAGGCATTTTTTCTTCCATCCTCTCTCACCATTGTGGGGAAGGGATAAGAAAATGTTTCAATCATTTCATACTCCCATGCTATCTGCACTAAAAGCTCAGAAAATACAAACTGTTCCATCAAATTTAGTCTTGAAGTTGTCAGCTATTTTCATGGTCTCGTTCCTATCCACATCTCTGATACTGTTTCAAGATAAGAAGGGACCTTGAAGGAAAATGTAACAATTACTAGAAATACTACTGCTTTATGGTGCTAATAGTACGCTACCATCTTACACTACTTCTGTAGTGGAATATTGATTGGAATATTTAGCTTTTAGAAAACTTCACAGTTATCACACACTGATGTTCATGTTACACTGACCTGCTTAGATCTAGGAATGCTAACAATTAATGGCACTGTTTAACAATGGTAATAAGTTTCTTCTAACAAACATTAAACTATCAATTACATCACCAGCTTTGTACGCAGCAACAAAACTCCTGTATTTTCACAGCCAAAAATACATTGCTGCCGTGAATAAAACCTGAAACGTCATCAATCCAGTCCTTAGCTCCAGGACCGGACCCACCATCCTGTTGTTTTCACAAACCCTGGTAACATGTTGCTCTGAAACAGAGGTCAGAAGATTTGCATGCTGACTCCAGTACCAGCCATTTAAAACCTGTGCAGTCAATGTACTACAGCAGTGAATCACACAAGCTCAAAATAAGAAACGTTAAAATTATTCAACATTACAAAAAAGGTGTAATTAATTGAAAAAAATTAGAATGGCTTCCAAGGGCAATCTGAAACCTGAAATTAGTCAAAACACCAATAGACCAATAACATTTACTCAATTATTCAGTATAAAGGTTTTTTTTGGTAGAACGTTTTTCAACGTGTTCAGTAAGTCATTTGAACTTTCGTTTGTCCTTCAAAAAAGATGGCACATTAAACCACAACATTCCCTGAAGGGAAGGAAACATTGTTGGAAACTACTGACAATAGAAATGACTCTGTAGTAGAGGCAGATAGAATACTGAAGTAGCAAATGGACTGAAGAATCTGAACTCCTTGAGGAAGAGAAAGCCTGTGTTTTCCCACCACCTATTTGTGCTGCACTCCATCCCTTGCTAGACACATTTCTTGAAGTCATGACATTCAGCATTTCAGAACACATAAATCTGTCATTACTCTTGTGTTCAGATGAAAACAGACACACTCCAAGCTAGAACTTGGCAACTACCTTCCAGAAAAAAGGGGTGTATGTGACATTTCATACACTAAACCAAGCTCATGTGTCCTTCCATACTGAAATCTTTCTAGGACTTCCTGGTCTGTGATTTGGCATATGAGATAACACAATTCTCTTTCTGTCAAGGCATCATGGATTATAGCACTACAATTTCATACTCAGTTAATAGACAATTAAAGCCCTTAGGAATAATTTTGGACATGGAGCTTTTAAGGTACAGTCACCTGCAATTACAATTCATACTTTAAATGTAGAGACTGAGGTAATACACTGTTAACAGAAAAGATCATAGGCATTAAGAGAATAAGTAGTCTACAAAGCCACATTTATTTGCACATGTACAGAACAAAGCAACAGATGTTATTGTTTTCCATACAAAATTATATAAAAACAGTATTCACCTTCATAGATAACACTATACCACCTTAAGTTTTATTAAATACATTCAGAAAGCATTCTTGCACGCACACAACATTAGTATTAGGTAGCCCCAGGTAACTCTAATACTGCAATGCAATTATTCCTAGTGGTATGAAGGGATCAAAAATTAGTCTGTAACTAAAACAAAAAGAATCCTGGTTGAGAAGCAAGCTGAAGTCTTACTTCCACTGGCCACCAAAACAAGATTCATCATCGAACAGATTAACTGTATCTAGAACATTGATGTAAATACTACCAAAGCACCTGCAGAAAGCAGGTAAGAGTGGTTTTCCAGACTAACTTGAGCTACTTGGCCAGTATTAACATTCCCATTTAATCACTGCTTGCCTATGGATAGGAAATTTTTATAAAACTGGAGGACAGACAGAATTGACTAAGAGCTTGTGGTTACAGAGGAAAACAAAAAGTATAGATTCAAATAATTACTCTGCCTTTCTACCCAGCACTGGAGAGATTTGCTTTACTAGGTCTTAAAATTCCCATTCTTGCAAGGAATAGAGGGGAAAGGCAAAATTTTGTACTTCCTGCAATATGGTCTCCCTACATATAATCTAAAAAGGGGAATTTAATTGTCAACAGGACATCTCAAACAATTTATTTAAAATGCACATTTATTTCTACAAAAAAAAGTGTATGATACAGAAGAAATGATCACATCTACTTTAAAGGTCTACCTACTAAAATATACAGAGGATCTTAATGAGTACAGGTTATTTAAAAAAAAGATGCAAAGGAGTGTTAATCTTTTATTTTTACATTTTCAGGAACTTCACATAATTTTGGTAAGTAACCTTTTACAAAATTATGTAAAAAGTACAAGAATGCCTGGTAAACAGTCTGCTTTTTCCAAAAGATTTTTTTACAGCATGCAACTCTTAAGGCAGCCTTCTCTTCCTCCTTACAAGGAATCCTTTCACTCAAATAATCTTCTGCTGCAAAGATTAGGCTAAGGAAGCTTGGTCTCTTCTGTTAACGCCTTTTGTCTTTCCTGTCTGATTTACGGTCTCTTTCACTCCGTGAAGTTCTCTTGCCTGACCGACTACTTTCTGATATAGATCTCTTTCTGTCAGACCTCGAACTTTTATCCTTTGAGCTTTTGGTATCTCTACTGCCACCACCTTTTGAGGACTTGTGACTTCTATCTACTCCCGAAGCATCCCTTCGCTTCCTGTCTGTGCTCCTTCTACGTTTTCTATCTCTGTTATGCCCTCTGCCTCGGCTTCGACTTCTACTTTCACTGCTGCTAGAGCTACTGCTGCTGCTGTCCCTGCTCGTACTCCCACTTGTAGTGCTGCTGCTGGTGGAACTGCTCCGACTGGTACTGCTGCCAGTACTGGAACTACTCGCACTGGTGGTACTACTTGAAGTGCTACTGCTACTACTGCTGCTGCTACGGTTATGACCAGTTTTGTTCCCTGCCCTACCCCTGCTTCTACTCCTAGTCTTACTCTTACTTTCTGCACTCGGTGTCTGATTCTGCTCTGCCTGGGCTTCAACCACCTTTACAGACACCACAGCATTTTCATCCTTGTCTGTCTGGGGCTCTGTATCCTGAGTGGACTGAGACAACTGAGGTGACTGTGCTAGCGGCACAGACTGTGGCTGAGACAGAGCCTCAGCCACAGATTCTGTCTGAGCTTCAGGTGTTTTCTCCTGTGTTTCTTCAAGTTCAGTTTTATTTTCTGTTTTGATACCTTTCTCCTTCTTAGGAGAAGGCACATGACACACTTTCTCTGGCTGAGCATCACACTCTGTTTCTGGTTCTATTTCTTTGCCATTTTCATTTTCTACAGGTTCTACACTATCTGCTTCATTCATTTCAGCCACATCCTGCTCATTATCCACTGGCTGAACGTTTTCACTTTCCTCTTTGACAACTGTGATCTCCTCATGCTGACCATCCTGTTGTTTGTCATTCTCCCTCACCTCAGTAGGCTCTTCTACTTTCATCTCTATGTCATGTTTCTGCTCGTCCTCTTCCTGTTCTTTTTCTGCATCACTATGCCCTGAACCTGAACCTATTTTTCCCTTTTCCTCCCCTACCTCCTCCATTTCTACATCATTGTGCTGATTACCTGTCTCCATCTCTTCCACCTGCTGAGCCACCTTACCCTCTTCCTGCTCCTTGCTCTGTTCTTCCTTCTTTTCTTCATTCTGCACCTCCTGATGTTCTTTTTCCTTCATAGATTGTCTTCTGGGCCTGGCCTCCATTTTGTTAATCTGCTCTGCAAATTCATTTCTCCTGCTTTCAAAGAGCGCTAGGGAATAAATGCATAAATAATAGTTAAGATACTCTACAGACAGTGAAGTCTGTTTACCCTTTAACTATGAGCTAATTGTTCAACTTATAAATACTGCAACCTTGTTCTTTCTGAAGTTGCAAGCCATTCATGCATAACGAAAAAGACTGGTAGTTACCTTAAGAACACAAAGCAAAGGGGAAAGTAAGCTCAGCTGAGTATTAGAACAGTAAAGCCCTAAATCTAAGCTAACAAAAACTTTTTTACTTCATTAAAATCAAACCAACCAATAGTATATCAAAATAATACCTTAATTTCTCGGTACTTATCTGTTAAGGTTATACTTCCTAAGGTAAGCAAAAGACAGTAAAAAATAAGCAAAAGGCTATCTAGATATTAAGAAAGTTTAATTACTATAGGCTATCCTGACAGGTGAGTGCCTTCTCTTACTCCCCAACCCCACAAAATGAAGACAAGCTCCTAAGAAAAAGCAAACGAATATATTCTTAGTTTAATAAAAAAAGAACAGTATGACTACCATCAATCGGAGCATTTTAAATTGTTTTCCAAAAGAAAAATATAGTCATCCTGTGAAACAGAAATAAACACACATTGAGGTAAAAAAAAATAAAAAATCAATCATAAAATTTTAATGCTAAGTTTAAGAAAATACTTCTCAAATACTTAGTAAGCACTGCAGTTCCTTGGGTCTTCACAGAATCTGCCTTTTCAAAAATGAAGCTGCTGCACTTGGATACATGTGGGTACTAAAGCTAATATAAAGGATTGTTTTAAACACGTACCTCTGAAATTATGCATACGTATCTTTTGACTTTTTTCAAAGAGAATCAAGTCCCATTCAATATAAAAATAAGTCACTGAAAGAATAATGTCCACTTATGATGAGCACCCATGTAAGAATATAGTTTGTCCTGAGCATGAAATTCATGTATTTAAGCAGAGACTTAAAAGAAACTTGTATGGCAAACAAAGGGAGGTAAGAACAAGGACCTTTGTATAAGGAAGACCACTTACCATTCATCTTTTTCTGTGATTCTTCCATCAGCTTCTGCGTAGCAGGACACATTCTGCCAGGTATGTAGAATAAATGAGGTTTTGTCTTTGTTCTTATGTATTTAATTATCTTAGCATTATGTTCATTCCATTCTTCTTGCTGAGAAATTAAAGAAAATAACCCTGAGATACACAAGAATAGTTTAAACAAGAGAAAGATCA